GATTTCTCCCCTTTGAATACATTTTAAAAGATATTTTGCAGTTCCATACTTTGAGTATAAACTTTTCTTTTACTGTTGGGGCATGGAAAGATTTGGAAGAATTTCTCGGGACCTAGACTTGCTACTGCAAGATGTGATGAGGAGACCTCCTGCTGGTCTACACGATACAATCTGATTACACAATCTTTTAGATCTACCATCATCATGGAAGAACCTCCCGCATTTGTCCTCACATTACATAGTTTTGGTAACTCTACAGCAGCCCATAGAGGAGTCATTTTTTTATTGCTCAACCGGCAGGTTGAACAAAAAAAACAAAAAACAAAAAAACTTGATTCCCCCTATCCATATCAATTGTGTGGATGGGGGAGAATCGAGTCTTTTTTTTGTTAAAAAAAAAAATTCTGACTGTGGGAAATCGTCCCTATCATCAGAACACAATGATCAGCGCTGCCGGCTATAGTAAGGAATTTAAACTGAAAGTTCAACTTCCCGGTGGAGGTCAGAAAAAAAAAAAAAAAAAGGAGAACACACATGTGCCCAGTAATGATACAGACGGTGGTAAAAACCAGACAGGGGTTCTAACTAGGGTTGAACCAAACCCATATATTATCAGCGAGGACCGATACCTGTGTTTAAGTTCTTGCTGATACCAATACCTTTGCGGTGCGATCTGAGCCCATACAAAATGATGGCTCAAATCGCACTGTACCAGCAGAGAAACTGCATGCGATTCGGACGGGAATTGCACCACATTCCTGCTCAAATCACATGCGATTCTTTGCAGTGTGATTTGACTCCATTCATTTTGTATGGGCTCAAATCACACCACAAAGGTATCTGTTTCAGGTAACGGAGCATTTGCATAGGTACGATAGGCTGGCCATACACTATACAATTTTCTTTAGATTTAACTATGTAGTGCAAGGGCCTGCCTAATAGGATACAATTGAAAGTGTTGTTAAGGTTTGACCTCATATTATATGGTTTTTGGTAAATCTAAAGCAAAATTCTCAAGAAAAAAATTGTGTAATGTATGGCCAGCCATACTCGTGCAAATGCTTAGTATCGGCACCACCCTAGTTCTAGCCCTTCACTATCCAATACAAGCATATATGTATGGCCAGCTTAAAGGAAATGATCAGATTATATAGTGCATGGTCATCTTTAAACTGAAAACTTTGGATTTTTTTTCTCCCTTTCAGGGCCCATTCTACTAGTGTGATGTAGTAATGCCTCCATAACATCTCAATGGACCTTCTCAACACACCTGCATTGCAGTGAGCTGACCAAGTTCACGGCAGGTCTACTTGATCTGTTTGGGTGATTTAGCTGCCCATTCTCATGAACCCCCTTCCACCTCCTGGCCCTTCAAGAGCTTCTAAATGATGGGAGGTGGGCATTCCAGTCATGTGATTGGCAGTCACATGATCAGAAAGCTACAGATCGCAAGTATGTATTGGGAGCTTTTCCGTCCCTACTGGGCCTCAAGGCATTAAAGCTCACCTGCCAAGAGACTGCATATATGCGTACCTCCAGGAAGTGGTTAAAGGATAAGTTCACCTTTCGTAACATGTTACACCATATTCTGGGTAACAGGCTATGCACCCCCCTGATCCACTGTTGTGACAGCTAGCGGGGGATCTTCTCCCCCTGATAGCTGTCACAATTAAAAAAAAAAAAAGAGAAAATTATTAAAAATGTGGCCGTGTGGGGGCTCCACCCATCCACATCATTCATTCAGAGTTCTGTGAATGAGAAAACTACAAGTCCCAGCAGCCTTTGCAGCATTGTAGTTCTCAATGAATTACCACGGAGCGATGGATTGCTGTGATAGCTCATTGAGTCTTCCTGTCAGAATCCTCTAGATCAACTGTGGGTATAGGAATATAACTTTTTTTTTTTTTTCTATGGTTCAACTGGATGGACTTTTGTCTTATTTCAGCCAGACTAACTAATGTATCAACTTGCCTGTACAAGGTATGAGGACACACATACACTGACAGGTCTGCAGGAGACCTGCATGGCACCAGCGATCTGCTTCTCTCTGGTGCAATGCTTTAGAGCAGGGGTCTCCAAACTATGGCCCTCCAGCTGTTGAAGTACTACAAATCCCATCATGCCTCTGGGAGTCTTGCCTGTAGCTGTCAGGAGTCTTGAAAGGCCTCATGGGACTTACAGTTCCTCAACACCTGGAGGGCTGTAGTTTGGAGACCCCTGCTTTAGAGGGTCCAGAAACGAAAAATAATAAATTCCCTTTTTTTGTAATCTGCAAAAAATGTGCATTTATTATTTTTGTTAAAGGGTGAACTTATCCTTTAATGCGCTGTCTTCGCACAACACAAGTCAACACGTGACATAACACGTTAACACGTTACATAACACACACTAACATGTGACATAACACGTTACATAACACACGTGTTAAACACACCACACGGGACTGTCCTTGGGTGAATGAACCCTCTTTCCTGGTGACAGAGGTCATGATGAAAAAAAGAGAAAATGCATGTGCGTAGTAATGATACAGACAGATGTAAAAACCAGACAGGGGTTCTACCCCTCACCAATCCATCCAAAACAAACAAAGTTTGGGCTTTAAATACACTTTAAATGAAAGCTTAATAGAACTTTGAGCTAAAATCCGCTAACTACATTCCAAGGGCATCAAAACAAAAGAGGTTTAAATTCTTATTGTTTATTTTCTCTTTCTAAAGTGGATATTGCTGGAGTAGAAAAGCCTGTCTCCTACCAGCAGCTGCAGAACGCGACTGTTGTGGGAAAGCGGTGGTCTCTCTGGAGACATTCGATATGCCTCCTGCCGAGTCAGACCTATAGATCTGTAATCAGCAAAACATTTTACTCCCAGCTGATTACAAAGCCTTAGAGGCTAACTCAGCAGGGAGATGTCAGATGTCTGCAGAGAGACCACCCAGGGCTGCTGTTAGAAACCATGGGGCCCCATACAGCCAACCTGACAGGCCCCCCCCAAAAAAGAAAAGAAAAAACGGTTTACCATTCTTCAGTTATGAACGAACAGTGAGTGATAGGTACCAATCACTCACTGTGTTCTTTCAAGAAAGGAGGCTGCTGAATGTGACATATATACAAGACCCTTCCCCCACTCTCCATCCTGAGGGATCCTAGTGTGTGCTTGCAGCTGCCGGTGGAAAGGAGAGGAAGGTGGCCGGTAGCACTGGGGGGGGGGGGGGGGAGGCCGTGGCAGCAGGGGGAAATGTATGCTACATGGGGAGGATCATGGGTGTGGCGGGGAGGCAATTACTGGAGCTGATCCCTGTATGGCTCTCTGCAGCAGCTAAAGCCAGAGACGTCAGCTTTCAGCTGCTGCACAGAGAACCATACAGGGGATCGGCTCCAGTAATTGCCCCCTGCCACGCCGATCACCCTCCTTGCCCACATCTAATTCACCAGATGCCAGAGGACTGGTGGTAGCCCCTTATCCACAGCCCTGAGACCACCAGTGACCTGCAAGGGTCCCACTTGGCAGCATTCTGGCAAGGGACAGGCTTTTTCACTCAAGCTGTAGCAGCTTTGAAACAAAGTGTAAGACATGCAAGGCATTTTTGGTATGACTTCCCTGGAATATACTTGGCGGATTGTGTCCTAGACACAAGTAAACTCTCATGTGTACCGTTAGATATGTGCATTAGAAAGCTCCTTATCAATTAAATAAAAAATTGCCTGTATCAGAAAATATACCTTCTAAAACCATGTGACATCACTCCCATTCATAAAACACAGCCAGGTCCAGGCACCCAGATACATGATCATGGAGGCTGACATGTCACAACCACTAGGTCATAGATGGAACCATTTTCATTTCTGTAATCACAGGTTACAGGAAAGAAGATCACTCGATTCTCCTATCGATACAGTCAGTGTTGATGGGGGGAATCCCTCCAGCTGCAATATTGTGTTCTCCCAGCAGGGGGAGCCGCCCCCACAGAGAGAACACTGACTATTGTTAGCGGCTATATTAGCCGCTAGAAATAATTGCATGTAAAATCCGACCTGCTATTTGTATACAAATTGGTCAGTCAGCTTGGGTACATTCAGTCTGCCCATACATTGTTCAATTCTTGGCCAGTTCCTGCTGAAGCGGCTGAGATTTGAACCGACTATGGCCAGCTAGGTTCACAGTGTTGCGGATGCGGGAATTACAGCTGTCCTGCACCCACAATGGAAACATGCTGCTATGTAAAGACATGCAGGGCACCCCCGTGCATCTAAAGCCGCATGTTTGTGGGTGTAGGAACTGCAGGGAACGATCATGCATTTTCCCTGCGACTGTGGTTTGACAATTCTTCATGCACATTTTTCTGCATGAAACGCAGGCACAGCAGCCCATTCACATGAATGTACTGCTGCGCCCGTGCAAACCCGCAGCAGCGTGAACCCAGCCTGTGTGGCACCCCTTGTAGAAACTACAATTCCCATCATGCAAAGACAATTGTAATTGTTCATGGGACTGAATGCGGTCCGGTGGCTGCCTAGTCTAGGGTGGCAATACTTCCAAGTCCAATGCTACAGTGATGGTGAGGTCAGAATTCTGCTCGGATCCCCCCACCATCACTGCATTTGTTGGTGTACAGAAGGCAATGCTCATCATTGCTGCAATGACACGTGACAGGTCAGAGCAGGAGTCTGAATCCCAGTCTGTAGTCCGGTCACCCAACTCCAGTGAGCAGTGACGTCATCACGTAGACCTAGATTTCAAAACATGGAGGAATTTCTGAAAAGACAGTTATAGCAATGATAAAGAAAAGTCTGCCTGGAGTTCAGCCTTAAGGCTAGGCTCCCCGTATACCACATTCCCGTAGGCTCAGCCGCCCATCATTGGAAGGGTCTACTGTACCTAGGGGAAAGGTCCTTGCACCTTTTCCAAAATGGCAGCTGCAGGGAGGTGGCACGGTGTAGCGTAGATGGAGGAATCTGGTTGAATTCCATTTAGACCTCCAGTTATTTGTCCATGGCCAGCTTTAGTTTCTACAGTATTCGCTGGTGATATTAGGAAGGGCATAGGCGAACAAGGAGAAGTCTAGGATGTACTTGGGTAGGAGCTCTCGGATCACACCCCTGGGGGTATTGCAGAGGAAGTAATGTAATGTCTCTTTGGTGACCGGCTTGTACCAGGCCTGTCTCTCAGGAAACTGGATGTACGGTGGGGCATTGATGGCCTCCAGAACGGTGTTGGCGTCCTCCTTCAGCCTCTCGTAGGACCCAATGAAGTCGTAGGTGACCGCACAAGGCTGGCACAGGTTATAGATGGGCATCCAGTGCTCGTTCATCTTTTCCACATCCTCGTCCAGCAGGTAGCGGAGGAACTCGGAGAAGGTGACGTCCTCCCCCTGGGATGCGCCAGGCTTCTCCCGGTACCTCCGGACGATCTCCAGGCCATACCTTTGCTGGTATTCTTTAATCTCCCCGAACTTGTTGCGGTAGGCGGACAGAAGCCTCTCCATTGGCTCCCGGACAAACAGGAACTTGTAGTAATGGCGCAGGCGGTAGGTGACCTCGTCCGGGGAGAAGTCGGACAGGAAGGTCAGGTCACTCTTGTGGTCCATCTTCAACTTGACGTCTACGTTCTCCAGGTGGCCATCCAGCACCTTGAGGACCCTCTTCCAGTTGGAGCAGGCCACCTTGGGCACGTAGCAGTAGAGGAACCTGTACTTGTCATTGACGATGATGTGTCGGAGCAGGGTCCGCCGTTGGCCCACGGGGAGGTCCCAGGGACTGCGCGCCACGTTCTTCTGGCCGCACACAACACTCAGGGTCCGGTTGCGGATATCCCGCAGGATCTCGTAGTCCGGGTCCTCTGCCCGCTGTACCTCGCCACGGTTGTGAGAGCGCCATGCCAGGTCCCCCCGGGGGGGAGGGGTCTTCACATCTGCCAGGATCCCCCTCTCTATCATCAGAAGTAACCCGCAGGAGGCCAGGATCACCCCGAACATCAGCATGGAGGGCAGCAGGGTGCTGGGGGCCCGGGGCCGGGACAGGGGGTGGGAGGGGATCCGTCTCAGGGTGGGGGGGCCACCGCCGCTATAGGGGCCCCCGGAGCCCATCTGGAAGTGCTTGGGGAGCTGGTAGAGGGGGTGGGGGAACATGGCCCGGCTAGTGCTGAGCTCTCCGCCTGGAGCCCGGAATGCCGCCCCGCTCTGCACCATCCCCCGACACCCGCATCCTTCCCCGCTCAACACGGATCCCGGCCTCAGCCAGCGGCGCCTCCGATCAGCATCTCCCGGAGCAGCCCAGAGGCCCGAAGACGCGTCACAGTCACGTGACCGCGCCCAGGCCGGGGGATGCGAGCGAGACAGCCGATCATTGCTTCCTGCAGCCAATCGGGGCCGGTGTGGCCCCGCTACCTCCTTCCTGTTCTGGTCCCTGGAGCCTGAGACCCTGGGCTTGTCTACATATGGTCCTTAGGGCGTCAGTCTTCCCACTGACACCAACGATGGACCGCTATTCCTCCTGCTGACACCAACGACGGGGCACTGATCCTTCCACTGACACCAACGACGGGGCACTGATCCTTCCACTGACACCAACGACGGGGCACTGATCCTTCCACTGACACCAACGACGGGGCACTGATCCTTCCACTGACACCAACGATGGACCGCTATATCTCCCACTGACACCAACGATGGGGCACCGATCCTACCACTGACACCAACGATGGACCTCTATTCCTCCCAATGACACCAACGATGGGGCACTGAGCCTTCCACTGACACCAACCATTGGACACTATATCTCCCATTGACACCAACGATGGGGCACTATTCTTCCCACTATAGTATTCTTCCTACTAACACCAACCATTGGAGACTATTCTTCCCACTGACACCAACGATGGGGCACTGATCCTTCCACTGACACCGACGATGGACCGCTATTGCTCCCACTGACACTATATCTCCCACTGACACCAACGATGGGGCACTGATCCTTCCACGGACACCAACGATGGGGCACTGATCCTCCCACTGACACTATATCTCCCACTGACACCAACGATGGGGCACCGATCCTTCCACTGACACCAACGATGGGGCACCGATCCTTCCACTGACACCAACGATGGGGCACCGATCCTTCCACTGACACCAACGATGGACCTCTATTCCTCCCACTGACACCAATGATGGGGCACTGATCCTTCCACTGACACCAACCATTGGACACTATATCTCCCATTGACACCAACGATGGGGCACTATTCTTCCCACTATAGTATTCTTCCTACTAACACCAACCATTGGAGACTATTCCTCCCACTGACACCAGCGACGGGCAGCTTGTCTTCCCACTGACACCAACCATCAGACACTATATCTCCCACTGACACCAATGATGGGCACTGATCCTTCCACTGACACCAACGATGAACCGCTATTCCTCCCACTGACACCAACCATTGGACACTATATCTCCCATGGACACCAACGATCAGGCACTATTCCTCCCACTATAGTATTCTTCCTACTAACACCAACCATTGGAGACTAAATTAAAAAAATAAAGCGAGCGCTCATTGTAATCAGCTGCTAGAACACTCAAAGAAATCACCAAATCTGGTATCATAAGTATTATAATATATAGTGCAGCGCTGTAATAAAAATCCATAAACAAATATAGGAACAAATGAGCATAGAGTTCATGAATCCTCCATAAATGCGACAAAAAGCTCTTGTGAGGAAACTTGCAGTGAGAATCTTCTCTATATAAAAATAGGTGACTGGAACCATATAGATAAAATGCGCACTCACCGACCGCACATTTATAATGCGCATGTATATGACCATCTATCAGGTAATCAGCCAGACACACGGACCATCCCTCAAAGGTGGATCATCAGACTTGGGTGTAGTGATATGTGGCAAGGACCAAGGAACACTTAGAGCCAGTAAGTGAGGGCGGATGAGCTCCTTCTTCTGGCACACTAAGAAGCCGCCGGACCTCAGCAGACCAACAGCACGTGTGACTTTTCTGCACCGCCGTGACCACGTGGAGGTCCGGCGGCTTCTTAGTGTGCCAGAAGAAGGAGCTCATCCGCCCTCACTTACTGGCTCTAAGTGTTCCTTGGTCCTTGCCACATATCACTACACCCAAGTCTGATGATCCACCTTTGAGGGATGGTCCGTGTGTCTGGCTGATTACCTGATAGATGGTCATATACATGCGCATTATAAATGTGCGGTCGGTGAGTGCGCATTTTATCTATATGGTTCCAGTCACCTATTTTTATATAGAGAAGATTCTCACTGCAAGTTTCCTCACAAGAGCTTTTTGTCGCATTTATGGAGGATTCATGAACTCTATGCTCATTTGTTCCTATATTTGTTTATGGATTTTTATTACAGCGCTGCACTATATATTATAAAACCTTTGGAGACTATTCCTCCCACTGACACCAGCGATAGGCAGCTATTCTTCCCACTGACACCAACCATCGGACACTATATCTCCCACTGACACCAATGATGGGCACTGATCCTTCCATTGACACCAACGATGAACCGCTATTCCTCCCACTGACACCAACCATTGGACACTATATCTCCCATGGACACCAACGATCAGGCATTATTCCTCCCACTATAGTATTCTTCTTAATAACACCAAACATCGGAGGCAATTCCTCCCACTGACACCAACGATGGGGCACTATTCCTCCCTCTATAGTATTCCTCTGACACCAACAATGGGGCACTATTTCTCCCACTGACACCAACGATCAGACACTATTCCTCCCTTTGACACCAATGATGGGGTACTATTCCTTCCACTATAGTATTTCTCCCACTGACACCAAAGATGGAGCACTATTTCTCCCACTATAGTATTCTTCCCTCTGACACCAACGATCAGAATATATTCCTCCCACTGGCACCAGCAATGGGGCACTATTCCTCTCTATGACACCAACGATGGGGCACTATTCCGCTCTCTGACACCAACGATGGGGCACTATTCCGCTCTCTGACACCAACGATGGGGCACCATTTCTTCCAGTGACACCAATGATCAGACACTATTCCTCCCTCTGACACCAATGATGGGGCACTATTCCTCCTTCTGACACCAATGATCAGACACTATTCCTCCCACTGACACCAGAAATTGGGCATTATTCCTCGAACGAACACGAATGATGGGACATTGTTACTGACACCAGGACATTTCCTACTCCCACTGGCCCTTTGTTTATAAAGTGTGGAGAGTCCAGGCCTTGTGGGATCCTGTGTAGGAAGTGAGGGGAAATCTCTCCATGGGAATACTACAATGCCAGGAGTAGGAGGATTTTCTGACCACCATATCCCAACTAGAACAATAACTAGAACCTCCTTGAAGTGGAGGAGGAGAACAGAAGACTATGGCTTATTCAGGTGGATAGTCCCTGAAAGACGTGTCAGTACATATCTGCTACAATCCCATTTTTTATTGACATTTAACCACCAGACCAGGGCTCTCCAGACAAAGGGCCAGTTTACTGGCCTCCAGACTTTTGGGGGGCCGGATTGTGGTCATTGAGAGTAGAAATGATCCTGGTGTCAGTGGGGGGAAAACAATGTATCTTTGGTATTAGGAGGAGGAATAGCGCCCCATTGTTGGTGTCAGGAGCAGGAATTATGCCCCATCATTGGTGTCAGTGGGAGGAATAGTGCCCCATCATTAGTGTCAGTGGGGGGAGGAATAGTGCCCCATTGTTGGTGTCAGTGTGTGTGGGTGGGGGGGGGGGGGATAGTGCCCCGTCATTTGTGTCAGTGGGGGAAGGGGATAGTGTCCCAATATTGGTGTCAGTGGGAGGAATAGTGCCCCATCATTGGTGTCAGTGGAAGGAATAGTGTCCCATCATTGGTGTCAGTGAGAAGAATAGTGTCCCATCTTTGGTGTCAGTGGGAGGAATAGTACATCATTGGTGTCAGTGGGGGAATAGTGCTCCGTCATTGGTGTCAGTGGAGGGGATAGTGTCCCAACATTGGTGTCAGTGGGAGCAATAGTACCCCATCATTGGTGTCAGTGGGGGAAGGAATAGTGTTCCATCGTTGGTGTCAGTGGGAGGAATAATGCCCCATCATTAGTATCAGTGACACCAATGATGGGGCACTATTCCTCCCACTGACACCAATGACAACTTTCTGACCCCTGTTCCAGCATGGTGCTCCTGCAGCCAGCATACCTGGTTGCAGCAGCACCATCTGCATGGCACACTTACCTGTCAGCTGTCCTTCACTCCAGCCTCTCCCTCACTCGATGTTCACGGGGCTGCTCAGCTCCACCTCCTCGCAGGTGATTGGCCACCTGTGTGCCTTTCCTGAGCTACAGTTCTGGCACCAAATCACCGGTGAGGAGGAGGAGCCGAGCTGCAGGAGTGAGGGAGTGGCTGGAGTGAATGAAGGAGCAGCGCTTCCTGGACTGGATCGTCGTGGGACTGGGACCGGAGCCAGGTAAGGTACAGAAGCCCCCTGCCCGCCCCTGTACTTAGTGTCCCTTCCTCGCTGAAAATACGCCTCTGCTGGTGGGCCGGATAAATGGCTTCGGCGGGCCGCATGTGGCCCGTGGGTCGTAGTTTGAGGACCCCTGTTCTAGAGGGAGGTGCTGCCCCCCTGAAAAATGTCGCCCTAGGCAAGTGCCTTGTGGTGAATAGCACCCCTTGTTGATGTCAGAAGCAGGATTTATGCCCCATTGTTGGTGTCAGTGGGAGCAATAGTGTCTTGTACCGCTGTGAGGAAAAGTGCCCCAAGGGCCGGATAAAGACGAGTGAAGGGCCGCAGTTTGGAAAGCACTCCACTAGACAAAAGGTGACTACTATTAAAAAGGTGATAATAGCCTCACCATCATTAAAAACAACATACAAAACTTCTAGAACATGTGGCCCCTCTGTATACAACCCTTAGAAGCCCATCCACAGGATAGAACAAATTCAACTCGGAGGTGGACAAAGGTTCTAGCAGCACCCGAACCTCAAAATATAACAATGATGTACAGAGATCTGAAAATCCTAACAGAAGAGTTCTACATCTCAACACATTGTGCTTAATGCTTCTTCAGAAGAGGAGTGTTATTGACTGGAATATAAAAAACCAAGAGTAAAACATCACATAAAGCACATAAACCATTGATGGAACAGAGGCACCAGTCATACGGGACACTCAAATATAGGAATGAGATAATGCCAACGAATCAACACCTAAATACTCAAGTATGCAGTTGTGTTCAAAATAATAGTTCAACATCACTAACCAGATCAATGGTGTTGGTATAAATGATATTTCTACACGGCAAATCATTTACTAGTAGAGTAATAGAAAACCAGCAGACCCAACAGTCATGGCTTGCAGGCTGCTGATTCTGTGCAATTGAAAGGGCCGCGTTCAAAATAATAGTGAGGAGTTCAATCAGTGAGGTCATTCAGTCTTTAACCACTTCAAGTCCGGACGCTTTTACCTCCTTCCTGTCCAGGCCAATGTTCAGCTTTCAGAGCTATCACACTTTGAATGACAATTGCGCAGTCATGCAACACTGTACCCATGTGAATTTTTTAGCATTTTTTGAGACAGATAAATCTTTATTTTGTGGTATTTATTCACTACTGGGATTTTTTTTTTTTTTTTGCTATATAAATGAAAAAGTCCACAAATTGTGAAAAAAAAAGTGTCTTATAAACTTTCAAATAAATAATATTTAATCATAAATCTTGGCCAAAATTTATTCAGTTATCTTTTTAGTAAAAAAAACAAAAAAAAAAAAAAACAAATTAGTTTATAACCAAAAATTATAATTTTTAAACTTTTTTTTTACATTTTTTTTTTTTTTTACATACTGACACCCTAGCAGTACAGTGTCACCATGGTGACACTACTACTTGTGGGGGTGATGAAGATTTTTTATTTTATTTTTTTACACTGATTGCTTTTATACCCATAAAGGCTGTAAAAGCAATCATTTCTCCTTTTCTCTGGCTGCATTCTTGCAGCCACTGAGAACTACTGTGTGAGCTGTGATTGGTCACAGCTTGTCACATGGTACAAGGCTGTTGTGAATAGCCCTGTACCATGTGACCTCTGTGATCATTCACAGATTTCACTAGTAGTAAGCAATGATGTCAGCAAGTGACATCTTGCTTACT